TCTGTGTGCCAAACAGATGCAGCCGCCAAAAGACAAAGTGCATTAAACAAAACAACAACAAGCGCCCACCCCCCAGCCACACAGGGACCCGTGGTCACTTCTGGAGCGTCCACTTCTCTCGGTTAATACATGCACAAACTTCAGCAAATCAGCTACATGATATATTAGGATGTTAACCCAAAACATCCAAATTCTGTTGCTTAGTAACTGCTGTCAAAAGATCCAATTTCCAGCTCTGCTCTTTGTATGGACTAAACCATGAAAAGAGGAGGATTAGGCACCATGATTCTGTTCTGTGCACACTACAATTTGCAGTGGGATTTACAGGAGGATATTCAAAGCAGATTATTTCTTTCTTGCAAAGCTAGTGGAAAGAAAAATTTCTTCCATTAATTTTCAGCCCTTTAAAAACAAGACTATATTACGTTATTAATGGGTATAGTTTTATAAATCACTGATATTTTCACTTAATTTTATTCGAACAATTTAGTCACATCAGATTGTTCTATTTCCTCTCAGTACTGATTGTGCACTCAGAAAGCATCAAGATTAGGTAATTAGTTAAAATCAAATTCTAGTGCTTTGTTCTTTTGTTCATTTAATGCCACTAATAGAACTAGTAAAACAGATTTTTTAAAAGTGTAGATGCGGTGGCGGGATGGCTCAGCTAAAAAAAAAAAAAAAAAAAAAAAAAAAAAAAAAAAAAAAAGTGTAGATGCAAAAATGGATAATGGAATTAAAATTTTTAAATAGAATGAAGTTGGGGGAATAACATAAATGGGGGAAAAAGAGGAAGATCTGTGAATCCTTCAACTATCTCATGGAACATATGGTATTCCCCCCCAGAATGTGAGGATAATACCTCATACAGACTTGAGCAGTATTGAGGAGTTTATCTATGGAGAAAGGACTTATTAAGCAAATTAAGAGAAGCACAAGGTGAATTTTAAATTAACTGAGAATAAAGTACTCTCATTTTTTAACACCGTCCATATGCGAACAAAAAGCAGTAACCTAATTACAATTAAATCTTAGATACTAGTTAAAGCAAGCCTAATGACCCTCTCTACTGTCAAAAACTCTTACCTCTTGGTTTAAGTAATAAAATTGTATACAAATATATCCATGAATTAACTATCCAGACCATCCCTCTTTAACAAATATTGTTATAATCTTTATGAGTTTCACAAACTATTGCCATTGCAAAACATTTTTAAAAATCTTTAAAATTGAGCATTTAGTCATTAAAATGTAGCTGAAGGAATAGTTAGATGCCAATCTTTTAACTATGAAATTGGCAAACACACATTTTAATAACATTGAGTGTGGCTGAGAGTCCAAAGAAATTGATGCTCTCATGATGGGGCTGCTAGTGTAAGTTGGTACAACTTTCTGACGAAGTGGGCTCCTATACATCATTAGTATTTTGACATAAGAGTTTTGATAGCAATATTATAAAAAATCTTTAAAATATTCATATTTTTACCTTAGCAATCCTGATTCTGAGAATTTATCCTAAGGAAAAAACCAAACGTGTGTACAACAATAATGATAAGTAAAAATAACCAGTACACTTTATTAAGCACATATTATATCCCAAGGCACTGTGTGATACTTTACATAAATTATCATTTTATTTAATTCTCGTAATAACCCTATGAGGCAGCTATTAATATTATCTTAATTTTATAGATGAGAAAACAGAGGCTTATAGGTTAAGTGACTATAACAGCTGGTAAATGTGGTGCAGCTGGGATTCAAATTCAGATCTATTTGAAACCTATGGCCAAGTGGTCAGCCAGTAAAATATGATGCTACTCTAAGAAAAATCTATTCAGAAAATGGGGGCAGTAATTTCCCTAGTTTGTTAGTTCTTCTAACAGAATATTATTTATAATTGTGAAAAAATCTGGAAACAACCTAAATGTTCAACAAAAAGGGAATGTTTAAATGGATATTATATAGCTATTAATTTAACATAATATTCAGATAAATTTTAATGACACTGAAAAAAGGTCAAAATATATTAAGTGAAAAAAACAGGTTTAAAATAGTATGTCCAATGTGATCTCCAATGTGAGTGTGTGTGTGCGCGCGCGCGTGTGTGTATGTGTGTGTGTGTGTGTGGAGAAGAAAACTGAAGGACAAATATGAATTCATTTTTATTTTCTTCTATGTTCTTTTCTACGTTTTCTAAATAATTTTTGTAATTAGGAAAAGCTACATTTGGGGACTGGTCGGGGAAAGCACAAGGAAAGAACTGTCCTTCCTCTCCAGAGTTATAAAACAACGATAAATTATTTGTGCTCTGAAAAAAAATAATTAAAACATCTTCTTCCCATCCTCACACTAAAAAAGAAGGGAAGAGAACAGTGGTGGGAGGTAGACTACAACTACTAAAGAATGGCATTTATATTTGACTTTCAGAAGCAACCTGGAAGACTTAGCACCTTTAGACGGGTTTGCACCCTCAGGCTTTTGTTAACCTATCATTAGGGCAACAATGTGAAAATTATTTGCAGGGAAAGATTTCGCAATATTTCTAATATAGTTCTAAGACACCTATGCTTCCTCCTTTTCTGTTCTGCACTTTTGTTACAGGGAATAATATTTTTTCCCCAAAGAAATCCAAAAAGTATTTAATTTATTAATATATATATATATATATATATGTGTGTATTTATTATACTGCTGAAACAGAAATAATGTTTGTAAATCTAAGGACGCATGGATGCTCCAGACAGTGAATCATGAATCGAAACAATTTTGAATAAGCTTGTATAGACACTTATTTTCATATTCCTTAGCCTTCTACTCATTTACAACTCTGCCTTGAAAGGCTTCAACAATTTAAAGATTAAATCATAAGTTATTAAGCCATTAATTTAACCATTTAAGCCTCTAAAATCAGCACATATTACCTTCCCCCCTCAAGTCAATTTGCAAGAGATTAAAATAATAAAAATGATAATATCTCACACTTACAAAGCAGCTTTGATCTACAGGAGCCTAAAATACTTTTTAAAAACTTTATAGAAAAACTAGGACCATCCACCCACATCTCAAAGTACATCTGAGGCAGACGTTGGCAGCTGGTGAAAAGTACTGGAGTAATTTACCATCTGCCCAGAAGATGACTACTTTTGAACAAGTATAAGGAATAGAAAGAGCTAGAGAAGTGCAAACAGAATTAGCTGTTCAATTAAATGGTAAGTTTGATGGCCACAGATTCCAAGGGCTATTATTTAAATTTTCACCACAGGAAATGGCTAAAGAAACAAAGAACACTGACCCCTACCTACAATACAGAAGTTACTAGTCCTTGTGACTCTGTCCGGGTTTTCTCAAGGAGAGATACCATAGGTTTCGCCTCAGACACAGAATAAACTGATTGTGATATTTAAGTTCTTTTTGTGTCTGGCAACATTTCCCTCTCTTTCATACTCAATTTCAAAGAGCCTTATAGAGAGTATTTATCTTGACGTTTCAGTGTGTAGGGCTGGAATCCTGCTCCAAGCAAGCTCTGCCTCCTCCCTTCATTTCAAGCGTCCTACACAAATAATTTTCTGCCACCTGCACAGACAAGAGACTAACTTTTCAAACGTATTTTTTGGGAGTCTGCTTCTTTTTAAATATTACTTTCTTCTTCAGTCTCTTCCCTAGAGAAAAACGGAAGTCATTCTATCCTACATCTTTATAAAGCGAGGGCCTCTGAGCACCGTAAAGGAACACCTGAGCTGTCTTCATGAGGTAGCACTCCAATCTCAAGATTCTTTTCCCTGATTCTGATTTTTCCACATCTCTTTAACTTATAGTCAGTTCTTATCTATAAAAGATTGAGCATGAAAAAAAAGGATTTAAGTAAAGAAATACTTCAACTAGATACAAAATAAAATCTCTTCACTGTATGTGAGTATAAAATCAGAATACCAATGGAAACACAGGCTACCAAGTGAGATGAAACAGCCATTAAAAGTCTTCATCATTGATTTCTGTTGTTTTTTAAAGAGTAGCCAACTACTATCACAGATGCCTTATATGACATTTGCTTGAATGTATGAGAGATGCACCAGATGATCTTAAGAGTCATTTCAGCTCTATGTTGTTCTAACTTTCACTGATAGTTCAAAGCCGCCATATCGAGGAGATGACAAAGGACAGTTGGATAAAGGAAGAAGGATGAAGACTACATTAAGCTGCCAAGCAGACTCTGATTATTATCTAATATGGCACCATCCTTTAGGGGGGTTTGAAAATATCTTTCCAATGATACACCTCTGTATACAGTCAACTTAATTGACCTCTCACAGTATGACTTTGTACATTGATGGAAGAACTTAAAATCTCAAATGAATTTGTTTCACTCTGTTCAAACACTCTTAACTATGATATTTCTTTCAATTAAGTCAATACAAATTTAAGAAATAAAAATTAATCATAATATGTACTAAACAAAGCATAATTTGGTAGATAAAAGTACTCAAATAAAAATGCATTGCAAACTTAAACATATCTAAAGCAGTCGCTATTCCCAATTCTGCTGATAATTTAGTTTCACTTGAGAAGAACATAGTTGCTATGGTTTTTCTATATACTTGTGTCCAACACTGAACACACACATATATATGTGTGTATGTATGTATATGTACATGTGTGTACATATATTCATATGTGTATATACCGGGGGTGCTCCCAAAATGTATACAAGTGGACACTTTGGTCAACGTTGCTCAAGCAGTAGTTTGCCGTAATCAGAAGTGTCTGGATGCTGATGGTAACCACTTGTAATTGCAGAAGTCAGATGTGACTTGTATTCATCTTCTGTTATAGGAATATATTGAGTACTACAATTTTAATAGTTTTCCTTTCTTAAAATGTGTATACATTTTTTTTTGGCACCGTGTGTGTGTGTATATGCAAAGATAGATATATATGTACAAGTACACGCATATACACATGGAAGAGATAGGAAATTAAAATGAAAGTAACAATCTTGATACCTTTTTCATGGCCTGACACTTGGCTGTCTCAGAAAAGCCAATCATCTTATCAGGGGAACAGATCTTGATGAAGGGGAAGTTGGATTCCTCTGCAATCTTTGCAGCTAAGGCAGTCTTTCCACTGTGAGGAGGGCCTGCAGAAAGACATGAGCACGTCAGGGGAAAAAAGCCAACCCAAGCAAAGAGGAAGAAAACAAGTTTAAACTTTTATCCACAATGTACTGAGGTCTCAACTAGTTGCTCATTAACATTTCCTGACACAGTTTCATGGCAGACATGTTTTCTCTTATTTATTAGCAACTAAACTTAATGAACTGATTAGCATTTCTCAAAAGTATGATGAAATACATTCCTTCTTTCTTCCTCACATAGCCTTAATCTTTCAAACTTCTGGCTAAATATATAAAATGCAAGGGTTTGGCTTCTTAAAAAAAGTGCATTCCAATGCATATCAGTATTTATGTTACTAGCGCTACCAAATCATTTGTCTAACAAAAAAATACACTCTTAGGAGATGATATTGGGGACAGGGAAAAATTGCCTTACAGAAGCAAATGTGACTTAAAAAGCTAGAATTCTTAAAAACGCAGGCTTTCTCATGAAGGCAACCATATCTACAAACTTACCTGTATTTAGACAGCTCTTCCTTATATTCCCTTCTGTGTAATGGAAAATGTGTCCCTCTTCCACCCAGAAACCAACCAATTCTTCCTTCCCATCTTCTCAGAAACCTGACATTATTGATGGTACTCTTTCCCCTCTATGCTCCACCTCTTCCTTCTCCCTGAAGCCTTTCCAACAGCATTTAAACATGCTCTAGTCTACCTGACAATAAATAAACCAAAAAACTCTTTCTGGACTTCACAGCCCTCAGCACTACTCTTTCTTCTCCTCTCAAAATGGAACTTCCCCATGTGATTATCTCGCTGGCTGCCTTCACCCTTCACCTTCCACCCATCCTCAAACAAACCCTATGGCTTCCATTCCCATGACGTGGAACAGGCCTCCATCACGGTCGTCATGGCCTCCAAGTCACCAAATCCCACAGACACTTTATCTGCTGGACTTCTAAGAATGTTTGATACAATTGGTAAGTCTCCTCTTTCTTTAAATACTTTTTCTTTCTTGGCTTCTGTGATAGCACATTCTCTTTTCCCCACTCTTACCTCCCTGGTTACTCTTGCTCGGTTTCCTTTGTTAACTCTTTCTGCTTTACTTAGTCCTTCAATGCTGACACACCTCAGAGATCACTTCTAGGCCCCCTTTTCTTCTCAGCCTACACCCTTTCTGTTACTTCATCCACTCCCTTGGATTCAACAACAGTCTATATACTGACAGTTCATGAATGTATATTACCAGCCAGACCTCCCTTCTGAGCACCAGACCTACACACCCAATGGGCTACTCAACATTTCCAATTCAATGATCTTACCGGAGCCTCACACTCAACATGTCCAAAACTGAACTCACGATTTTCCCCAAGTGTGCTTTTCCTCTAGTGTTCCCAACCTTAGTAGACAGTACCATTTACCAGGCCGTGTATACTAGAAACCTGGGGATCATGTTTGCTACCTCTCCCCTATTCCATCTAGCTACTTAGTATTTCTAATCTTTAGCTTCCTTAACTGCAAAACAGGGATAACAGCCGCATCTATCCTCAGGATTGAAGTGGGGTTTAAATGAGATAATATGTGTAAAGTGATAGTACAGTGATGGGCAAATAGTACAAGTTCAAGGAATGGTAACAATTATGATTAATAATTAATGAATAGTAATCTTCACAATAATAATTATAGTTTCTTTTATTCTACCTCCTAAATATTTCTCAAAATGGTCTACTTATCTCCATCTTCACTACCATGGTTACTTCAAACTACAATCAGCTCTCATTAAAACGAATGCAACTGCCTCTAACCACTGGTCTCTCCACATGTTTTTTGCCCCTCCAATCCAGTCTCACAAAGCAGTCGTGATGTTTTGAAAATACAAATCTGATCACATCACTTCTTCTTAAAACCCTACAAATGGCTTTCCATTGTCCCTCAGATGGAGTCTAACTTTTTAACATGGTCTACAAATCTTTGCATGAACTGGCTCCTATCTACTTTTTCATGTCTAGCCAATCTCCCTTTCTCTTGCAGTCTCCTTCCTGCCCAGGGCTCTGCCACAGGCTGGTCCCTCTACCTGGAACATCTTCCTGGATTAGGCTATCTGGCTGGCTTCTCCCCATTCTTCAGGTCTTGGCTTCATGTGTTTCTCTCAGGGAATCCTCACCCCCAAACCTTCAGAAGGGTTAGACTCCTGCCATGTGGACTCGCTGAACGTTTCTGTTGTACTAATCACAACTATGAACAAACAATTGGTGAACAGAATGTCCTTCCCTTTTTGTCTGCTTGGTAAAATCCTAACTGATTCTTCAAAGTCTAAATTGAATACCACCTCTAAACACCACTCTAAATTAGACACTAAATTAAATTTCCTTGACCACCGCTGGGCAAAATGACTTGCACTCACACACACCTTGACACATATACCCTGCAGTTAGGAATGTGTTTACATGTCTTTATTCATGACCAAACTGAACTCTGAGAATGTCTTTGTATCCCCAGGAACTAGTTCAATGTCTAAAACATAGTGAGTACTCAGTGAATATTCATTTAATTGAATAGAGTACTATGTGGTATTATACAGTCTATGAAGTAACACAGAAATTTAGATACAAAGCTAGTTGCTATCATTCATCAGTAACATTCTATCCCCAAGAGAACTTAAACTCGCACTGGTACATAGACTAGATTACTAATTTCAGAAGATGAACAGGTTTAGAAATGAAAATAATTCATTTTCCTGGAATGTGCTAAATGGCTTTGTAAAAGTGTTTCTTATATACTTTTAATGCCCTCTCATCATTTTTGCTCACCTTCCAAAAGGACGCTAACCAATGGTGTGCGGTCACTGTTCTTAGTCTGCTGAACCAGCAGCTCCCCATCTTCAAGAACTCGAGTGACTGGGTCACCCCATTTGATGATTCCATTCATAATGTAACTCGCATAGTCTTCTTGGTTTGTGCCAAATGCCTATGGAGGAAAAGAACAGCTTAAAGCATTTTGAGAATTGGTATTAAGAATTAAAATATTTATGTAAAAAAACCTGAAAAGCAAAAAAACCCCACAACACTGTTAATAATTTCTCATTTAACCATTTAATTTTTCACCCAACTGGGGGGATGGGGAACCTGCATTGGGTTATTTAATGGAATAAAACAATAGATTCTAGACTCAGATTCTACCAGAACACAAGCCTTCGTAATCCCTGAGAAAGGGTACATTCCAACATGTTTGTTTCTGTATGGAGTATACAGATTATGGCTTCTGTTAAGAACAAAAAATTATGGACTTAGAAATTAGAAACCATTGGTTCAGCAGACAAAGATAGTACCCAACCAATGACCATAGGTGTCGGGAATTACAATGGGAGTATAAAATGGCCATGAGAAGGTCCTGTTCACGTCAACTTGGTGGTAGGGCATATAGTTAAATGGCACCAAGGTATGTATGTATATGTGTGTAAGTACAAGACTTAAAATGAGGGCAGCTATAATGAAAGACTGAAGGGTTAGGAAAAGAAAGTACAAGCAATTATTATATATAATAATTTTAATTGTGCTTACTACATATTGGAACTTAGATCACATCCCTCTCCATTTTCAACTTCTCACCTCAAATTGTAACTGCCATCAAACCAGCTACCAAAAGTAGTCAATAACTTTAGTACTTAGTTACTTAATTGAATTGTATTTTCATAAGGTTAACAGGGAAAAAAAAAAGAGTAGGAAAACATAACCCAATGTAATGTAAGGGTCCTATGTCTCGAGAATTTCAAATTTTTAAAAATTATCACTTCCTGGGCCGGCCGAGTGGCGCAATGGTTAAGAGCTGGCTTGGGACGCCAGAGGGCCCTGGTTCGGATCCCACATATGAGGGCCAGTGACACTGCCCTCCACAGCTAAGATGCTGAACAACAGCTCAACCTGGAGCTGGGCCGCCATGAGTCGCCGGCGACGGCGTAGGCTGCAGCCCCTGCTGCAGTGGGTTGCCATAGGCTACCGTGTGTAGCCAGCAGCCAGCGTGAGCGGCCAGCAGCCGCCGTGAGTGGTTGTCCAGAAGCCGGCGACTTATCTGCCTCTCCTGGGAAGAGCACAATGATGGTACCAATTTGGGTCAGTGAAGCAACGTCCTCCACAACTAGAATGAAGAATAAAACGACAGCAACTTGTCTGTTCCCCTCCCCCCAATTCCCCAGCGCTGTTCCCATCCCCCCAATTCCCCAATAAAAATCTTTAAAAAAAATTATCACATCCTTCAAAAAGTCAATTTTTTAATACCCGATGTATGGAATAATTTTAACGCTTCTTTAGAACTTGCACCGCACAGGAAGTGTTCTCCTGTAATGCTGTCTGTCATACTGTAAACAGTATATAGTGGTCTCATTACTCTATTACTTTTCCACCAAATCATTACTCAGACCTCTCTTTGCTCCTTAAATACACTAGTCCTTTGATTTCTGAGTCTAGAGGGAAGTCCTCATTCCCTGGTCTGGATATCATGAATGCAGTGGCTCTGTAAAAAGTTATAAAGAAAGAGCCTAATGAACACTGGTTGAATGTAGGAAATATGTAGATTGGCTGGCTTTTATCTTAAATTATTTCAAGTATAGACACCAAGCCTCACAGCAGCCCCTTTAAGATACCTGAACCAGGAAACAGTGACCCTCCCCGGCTACACAATATGTACGAGTCTTCCTTACTTATCCTATCATTTAATTTTTTGTTTTATCCCCCAGAACCTTGGAATAAAAAAAAGTAAGTTATTACAATACTTACTTTACTTAGTTATCTTAGTTTCTCCTTTCTGGTAGCCAAATTATTTGTCATTAAAAAAATCACAGAGTAGATCAGTTAGGCTGGGCTCTAATATTTTTGGTAACTATTACAAATGACAACAGCAAAAGATAAACCATTTCCATTGCTCAGTAACTTTTAAAAGTACTTATTTTCTATTTAAAAGTCACAATATCATAAAAAAGTAGACAGGACACTAAAGCGAATTGATTTTTGTCTTGAAAGGAGATGCTTGCAACAAATATTATCAAGAATATATAAAGAACTTCTACAGATCAAATAAAGAATAAACAATACAACAGAAAAATAGGCAAAGATGAGAACCGCATTTCACAAAAGATACTCATATGGAGAAATGCTTAACTTTATAAGTAATCAGTGAATTGCAAATCAAGACCAAAATGAGATCACATTTTACAGCCAACTGAATGGCCAAAATTAAGTCTGACAATACCGAGTGTTGAACCAATAAGCACTGGCCCCAGTCATGTAAAAGAGAGTTTTGAGTGCATTTTAAGATCATTTGCACCTTTTTTTAAAAGGGCACTTAGGAAGGTTAAGAGTCCTTAGAAACTACAGCAGTTAGAGGAACTACAAGTACTGAGCAAGAAAAAGGCATGCCTTGGAGGTTGGGGAAAGGTGAAGAGAGAGCTCACTGTAAATACCATCAATGACTAACGTATGGAGAAAGGGTGAATTAGGATGAATTTTGTTTTTGGTAACTTCAGAATGCATAAGAACCAATGAGAAAACTCATTCTAGTTCAATATAAAGTAAGAGCTAATAATTAGAAAGTCTCAAAATGGGATGGTCTGCCTCATAAGATGGTGAGCTCCCTATCATGAGAACTATTTCAGTAGTTATGGTTAACTACCCAGCCATTAGTTATTGAACAGATGTTTCTTATATTGGACACTTCTAGTGCTGCGATTTTCTGATTTTTAAAAACTACATATGACATAACCTTCCATAACACTGGGTAAAGTGGCACTTATTTTTCTCCTGAGTTGTTGTTCTTTTTCTGGCTTATACATCACTCAGTATTCATACTCACTGGTTTGATATCATTCTCCAAAGAAGCGAGGAAGTCTCCTCTTGTCACCTGCAGGCTCTCTGCTTTCTCCATGTCCACTTCGACTTTAGTACTGGCCTAATTAGAAATAAAAACAAAATGTAAGGACTTCCAAGATTTAAGAATATTTTTGGCCTAAGAATGTAACTTCTGAAGATTTTAAAAAGCATTATTTTCACAGACAAAAAAACCTCTCTCTCAAATTCACAAACATGTATACCTTTGCCTAAACAATTCTTCTTCTAGAAATTTATCCGAGAAATATATTCACAAATGTGTGCAAAGTTATATTACCGCGACATCTACTACAGTCATCTGTAATAGGAGAAGACTAGAAGCAAATTAAATGTCCACCAGGCGGGTACCAGTTAAGTAAATTATGACGCATCTGCACCAAAGAACACTGGATAGCCATTTCTTTCTAAATGAGGCACAAAGAGGAGAAAACACATACAGAGGGTCTCTATGAACAGTGGCTCTTGTCCTTGGCTGTATATCAGAATAACCTCTAGAGCCTTTAAAGGTATAGCTGCGTAGCTCCACCTGCTTCAGGGTTTTGACCTAACAGGTCCAGCAGAGGGTCTATATTTTTTAATAGGCATCTATATTTTTATAAAGTGCCACTGGGAATTCTGATGCTCAACCAGGTTTGTAAACCATTATTCCAGGAGACCGAGGACTTAAAACTTTGCTTTGTACTCATGCTTTGTGCTTGAGGATCTATGTGCCAGCTCCAAATAGTCTGCTTACTGCACCTGGAGCTGACACTTAGAACAGACATCTGGAGAAGCATCAAGGCCTTTATCAGCCTTGGAGCTGCCTGGGCCTGATGAGTGATTGAGGTACCAACACACTTTTTAATGTGACTGGGCTCACTCCCAATAGCACAAGGCAAGTGAGTCTAATTCTTAAAATGGTACTATGGTTTTAAAAAAAAATTATCTTTAAAATAATCTGATTATAAAAACAAAAGTATGTTAAGCAATATCAACCTTCTATCGATTACTATGAAATATGAGTCATGTCCCTTTAGGAACAGACTGCTGAGACATATAAAATGATGGACATCTTTTTCAACTCAGCTTTATGGGTTAAAAAGAACTATGTCGGGAAACTGAATCAATATGACAAACAGAACACATTTATTTATCTCCCTTTCTGCCCCAAATCCCATGAAATGACAGAAAATGAGAAAGGTTAAAAAATATAAGATATATCAAGAAGTTTTAACACTGACCTAAGAGGAGTCTGAGAAGGAGAGAAGAGAAAGAATGATAGAGAAAAAAAATAAAAGACAGAAGAAAAATAATTTTCCTGCAGTTGAAGAAACGTGTGTCTGCATTTTAAAGGGTTCAATGAGTACTGATCAGGGTAAATGAAAAGAAGCCCACACCTGCCTAGACACACTACTGTTAAGTATCAGAGCACCAAAGGTGAAGAGAAAGTCCTAGAACCTTTTAGAGACAAAAACAGGTTACCTGCAAAGGAACCACAATAAAACTGGCCTGATACCTTTCACTGACAGCACTAGAGGCTAACAGCGGTTCTCAACCTGTGGGTCACGACCCCTTTGGGGGTCGAACGACCCTTTCACAGGGGTCACCTAAGACCATCGGAAAACAAAAAGATATTTACATGACGATTCATAACAGTAGCAAAATTACAGTTATAGAGTAACAACGAAAATAATTTTATGGTTGGGGGTCACCACAACATGAGGAACTGTATTAAGGAGTAGAGGCATTAGGAAGGTTAAGAACTGCTGCTCTAGAATATTGTGCACTTGTCCAAAACAATGAAGACTTAACTATATGAACATGGAAAGCTATCCAAGACATATTGTCAAGTGAAAAATATAAACTGCAGTACAAGTCCATTAATGTTTTTTGAAGCACATATGTTTATGAATGTAAATGTAAAGAAAAAAGACTACAAAGGTATATCCCAAATGCTGGCTACCCCTGGAGAGGGAGCGAGAAGTGGCGTCAGAGATGGCCTTTCTAGCTTCTCTTTACACATTCTGGCATCCTGGAGTCTTTTTCAAGAGAATGTATTCATGTATGACTTCGACATTTTTACAAAGATAGAAGGTAACAAGTAATATTTAAATAAATAGACCAATATTCTACTTAAATAAAGAGAACAAGTAGCATTTAAATTGTTAATAGGGTTTTCACTGGCACATATTAGGCTTTCGATAAATATTGATCACATTTATTTGACATCTCTAAATTAAAAAACAAAAAAAAGGGAAATGGTGTTTATGGGAAACAAGCATCTCCATGAAAGAATTATGATGCTCAGTTCATAATACAGAAATCTCTATTAGCTTTATAGTTTCTAAAGTATGTTCGTATACATTATCTCATTTCATCATACCCATTAGCTCATTTTATCCTTATATAAGCCTGGAAGTTTTCTTAAATTAAGGGTAAGAAAAATTAATTAAGGGTAGATATAAGACTTCCTTCCTAGGTAGTCTTACATAAAGGTTTTAAACTCTGATTAAAACTTTTTGACACATCTAAAAGGATTCTACAAGGTGTAAACCCAGGTAAAAGTGAAAAGCGAGTTCTGACAGAATCCTATTAAAATCCCAATGAAGCTACCAGATTCGCTTTAAATGTCATCTCCCTATGGAGCCTTAAGTTTTTACCATGATGTTTTGTAGTCTGAGTTCCTCTTATAGTCATTTGAAGCTGAATTCAAATGATACTCAGGATAAATGAAAAGAAACATAAAAATACGAAGGGAAAATCTTTCAGTGTTTGCCAAAAAATATGATAGATTTCAGGACGGAAGCTGGTGTGAGACTTGTCTTTTCACTATTAAGAAAGGACTCCCCCAATGAATTAAAAGTGAATTATGATGGACTGGGTAATTTTAGAACAAGTTGTTTTTAGGCACTCCAAGAATTTTAGGAGTTACCTAATGATAAACAATTGATATTACAATTGTAAATGCTTCCTGCCTATTCATTAAAATAAGTTTTCTAAGGATTTCTCCTAGCTAACTTTCACTATTTTATCAAAATCAGTGAAATCTTATTTTTAAAAGTTCTACAGTTCTAAATTTTTACTCATTCAGAAAAACCTTTTCTCATTTGTCTGAATTAGTGCGATTTTCCCCTGCATTTTATTTATAACAGCTAATCAATATAGAAGAGGCAACATCTTTCAGCTTATACCTGCAGGAACTAATACACTTGTATTTCAACACTAGCAAATATCAAGTGGTCACCCTTAAATTTCATAACCTTTTAAATCTGACCTTTCAGAGTTCTTATCATTCCTCTTAAATTAAGGGGAGAATGACCTTAATCAATCAAAATTCTACAGAAAATAAGAAATAATTTTATTGAAATTCTGCAAATATAAATCAGAGCTTTGATTCAGTTGTAAAGTGCATGTGTGTGTGTGTCTTCAATTTATTTCCTTACAACAGATCAGAACAGGAGAAATTTGAGTTATGAATCTTCTCTTCCTGAAGCGTAAATTCCTTTCAAGATAAAAACCACCAAATGTCACATGAATTTTAGTGGACCACAAACATGGGTTCAAGTACAAATGATGAACATCAGGTATTTGTGATTAGATTTTCCACTTGTTTCAGAAAATCTGAAAGAGGTTTAACAGGGGAGACCTGTTTAGTTGGGTCCACTTGATTTTAAGCCTAAATCTTTTGAAAAGGGAGCAAAATAACACTACTAATGGCTTTTCATTATACAAAGAAAGAACATCATAACAAACAGTTGAATGTTGGGTATAAGTTCTATACTGACTTTAAATCACAAGTTTCAAATTACTCATTCATCAATCACTACTAGTGAGGCTATGAACATCCACAGCAATGGGAATACTAAAACTGTATGCCTTTTGTTCGGCTGAGGAGGAGTCTTGTCGGGAAAACAGTGTTTAAAGAGCTTTTGACAACACAGATCTTTTAAAATGCAGAAAAGGAAGTAAATGTTAGTACTACTTCTTTTTTGGGGGTGAGGTTAGTGTCTTACATATCTTTCCGTTCCTTGAAGGTCCTACAAGTCCCTTACATTAGATATTCTATAGATACTGTAAAAAATTAAAAGTTCTTTGGTACAAAAGATGTTGATCACAAGTTCATATGCATCACCTGAAGTTTAAAGATAATCCAACCACATGGGAAAAAGCGAAGGAAATAATGTCCACTATTTGCATTACCTCTTACTTGCAAAACTGAGGGATAATATATTCTGTACAGAGGTAACTAACATATTAGTTTTACAATTATAAAAATGATAACTGCAAATAGTCAACAAAAATCAGAAACTGAGAATACTGAAAAGGATGTATATCCTCTCAAATCAGCCAATCATTAACAAAAATGGAAATAACAACTAACAATTACACATAGTTTGTAAGGCACTTCCACATACAGTATTTGATTTCGTTTTCACAAAAATCACAATGAAGTAGGCAGTTGTTACCCCTTGACAAATCAAAAACAAAACAGTGAAAGAAGTGTAATGCACAGCCACACTTTATAACTATGAAATGTGATCTTTCCATCATACCTCATTGCTGCACATGTAAACCTAATACATGCTTAAAGAAAGCATGTTTCTTAGTGAGACGATGGCTTAGACACATTTTGGGATAAGATTATCATGGTAAAAATGGCAAATAACTAAATAAGAAAAAAATCTTGTGGCTAACATGAAAAAAAATCTAGTAACTACTGTAGAATATATTAAGAAGCACTGATGTGGTCTGAGGTGGGGGGCAATGCTCACATCATTTACACAGTTTTTCTTGAAGTTACCATCACTTCTTGCTAAGACATTTCTTATGGCAAGTAGAAAAAAGGAAAAGGAAAGGAAAGGAGAGGAAAGGGAAGGGAAGGGAAGGCAAGGGAAGGAAAAGGGAGGGAGGGAAGGAGGAAGTAAGGAAGGCCCCATCTTATAAAGGACCCAATATTATATTCCTACATTATCTAGACCTTTGGCTTTTTTTTTTTTTTTTTTAACGCATTGGTACTGACATCCTCCTCCCTTCTCCCACTGGGTCTCCAGTATTTCAAAAAGATTTTTCTCACCTGTCTAAAGGGGCTTCCTCCAGCATGGCACTGAGCTAGAACCAAGTCATTTTTAGTATGTAGGGAAATTATGACTTATGGATAGACTTTGATTCAGAATACATAAAATATAAGTTTACTAATTAAAAACACACTTACTAAACCCCTACAATGTTCTCAGTATTTAGACCTATTTGAGATACTGTGGGAGATTCAGAGATGAATAAGATGTGAATTTAAAGTCTAGAAGAGGGGTTGACAAACATTTTCTGTAAAGAGCCAGACAGCAGATACTTTAGATTTTGTGGGCCGCGCAGTCTCTGTTGCAAATACTCAGCTCTGCCACTGCAGCATGGCAGCAGCCATAGACAATACATAAATGAATAGGTGTGGTTGTGTTCCCAAAAAACTGTATTTATACAAACTGGTGGTTGGCCAGATACAGCCCATGGGCCATAGTTTGCTGACCCTTGTTTAGAATCACTGATAGAATGTGCCCAAATAACTAGAACACATTCGACCTAACTGTTCAGGGTTTTATATTTCCTGCAAGAACAGCAACGCACGTTCCCCTCTCTTGTCTGTTTCAACAACTCCACTCCCCTAAATGCTCCACTCGACGCAGCTGCCGAGTGCTCTTCTGTTTTAACACTCTGCCTCTGCTATTCTTACAACTCTTCAATGGCTTAGCACTCCCCACAGAAAAGAAGCCCATACTTCTTAGCACGGTATAAAAGGCTCTTTGTGCACCAAGCCCTGCTTCAGTCTCCTGACTTATCCCTCACAGTCTCTCTCTACCTCCCCTCCCCTCCCTTTTATGCTGAAGCAATACTGAATTACCCTAACACACATGCTGTTTTGTGCCTCTGTTCCTTGGCATATGTTGTTCCTTCTACCTAAAATGCCCTGCCCACCAAGAGACACATCTACCCAGAGATTCCTCCGTGAAGCTCCCTCTCACCCCACAAGTGGACCACATCTGACACCCTTCACTTCCTTACCAGCCATGTCCTTTCTATTCCTGCCTGTGGGCGTTAGGCTGTGAGCGGCCCAAGGCTGGGTGATTTACTTCTTTGCAGTTGCAGCATTAACCCCCAGCACAGTGTTTGGCATATAGTAGGTGCTGAATAAATCTATTTTGAACCAAAGCCAACTGAAGGCACCATAAATGATATGTTACTATTTCAAGAAGGAAGACAATACATCATTCTTGAAAGACATATCAGAAAATGTTTGAAGAAAGCGGTGACATGTGAACCAGGTATTGAAAAAATAAGCAAACAGAGAGGGTAAAGACTCTCAATGAAGAAAAAAGAAAAGCAGAGAAGTACAAAAATAAATTAATGTCTGCTGACCAGTGACAGTGCCTCAGTTTGACTACAGTGTAAGGAGATAATTGGGAACACATCTGGGAAGGCCAGTTTAGGGTCAGGTCTGGAGGACCTTAAAGACAAGGCTAAGAAGTTGGTACTTTGCTCTGTAGACAATGGTGAGTCACTGAACATTTCTGAAGGGTAGAATGATGTGAAACAGGAAGAGTAATCCAACAGAAGGTGGGTGGTGGTAACAAGAACTGACAGATACTGCGCCAATACAGGACTGACAAAATCCAGCAAATGACTCAATGGGATCAAAAATAACCCTGAAGTTTTAGGCCTGGGAAATTGGGATAACAGCAAAATAGGAGCAAGAAGGAAAATCGTAAACAAAAGGTAGCAAATTTGGTTTTGGAATATTAAATAAGACCTGATAAGACTTCCCAGTAGAGGTGTTTAGTGTAAGCTGAAAGTGGGAGACATACTTTCAAGAGATAAGACGTAAATCTGGGGGTCATCTGTCTATAGGTGGAAACTAAAACATCCATCCAGAGAAGGGATGGTAAAGAGTCAAATGTACTTGCTCAAGATTTATTCACCAAAATAAAAGTATCCTGGTATATATGTCGACCACAGTATCAATAACATGATTGCACTAATTTGCAAGCATGTCTATTTCCCTGACTCTGAATTCCCCGAGGGGAGAGGTTATGCTTTACTATCTTTGTGTCGCCAGTTTAATACCTCAGAAACAGCAGGTGTTCAGTATATTTGCTGAATGAAGGAGCCCCCATATATATTCTAGCATGTAGAAAAATCCAACTTCCCATGACATGTTACAACTCAATACAGCACAAAGATTAAACCAAAATTCTTCCAAACCTCCATCTTCACATGTCTATCTGTATCAGATGGTGGCAACCTAAGGGAGAAGCGTCAGTGGTTACCAGGGGGCAGATGCCACCGTTATCCTTTTTCCTGCTACTCTCAAGATTTAGCAGTTAACTCCTACTCCTTTTACCATGTTTCTTCTCCATCCCTAGTCCTTGGTGTGCCTCAAAGAGAGCACTGGCACTGCATTTGTGGGGCTGCAGACTCCTCATCTGCTTGCGGACTTACTGACCTTGATGTGTCTGTTCATAGCAGTGGACTGGGCAGCTCGCACCAGGCCCTCCAGTTCAGCACCGCTGAAGTTCTTGGTCTCCACAGCCAGTTCTTTAATGTCGACATCAGCAGAGAGTAACTGATGCCCTCGCATCCTGGCTGTGTGGATGTGAAGGATCTGGAGTCGACCTTTCTCATCTGGTAAGCCTGATAACATGGAAAATAAAGTAGAAATTATTATAATCCTAATGCTTTTCTTATAGGTACTCAAGCATGTAAACATCTGCTTATGAGACACAACTTTTCTAACGAACATGAAAGCATTAAGTTACCTGACTTTGCTCCTGCTGATGAACTCTAAATATACCCCCACCCCCGCCCTGATCAGTGCCAGGTCTGCTTACCTATTTCCATTTTAACTTCCAGTCTCCCAGGTCGAAGGAGAGCCTCGTCTATCAGATCTGGTCTGTTGGTCATTCCTGAGCACAGATGTTAAAACAACATACAAATGATCTGAGTTCAAAAATAAGGTAAACGTTCCTCCAGTATATGTGAAAATAGTAACTTACTTAAAAGCTAAAAGCACATTTCATAAAAGTCAGATAGGAAATCAAATTATTCTCAAATAAAAATATCATTTGTTCCTACTGGCAGTTACAAAATAGTCACGGGGATGTCAAGTTTGGCATAGGGAATACAGTCAACAACGTTGTAAAAACCATGCATGGTGTCGGGAGGTATTAGACTTATCACAGGGATCACTTCATAAGTTATATAAATGTCTGACCACTATGTTGTACACCTGAAACTAATATAATATTGAATGTCAACTGTAATTGAAAAAAAAAATTGTTTAAATAAATCATTTGTTCTTGATCTACTCTAGTGAAAATATCGAGACTTTGCTTTAATTTCACAACTGTACAAACCAATAGAATATAAATGCAATGAAAACTTCAAATATTTAAAAAGAAAAGTTAAGGCTCAGAGAGGGTAAGTTACTTGCACAGTGAGGGAGGAGCCAGGTGAACACGATCTGTCTGACCCCAAAGTTTCTTCCCTTTTTTGTAGGCCAGTGGTTTTCAACCTTCATAAACAGCAGACTTTTCTACCGAAAAGTTATTTTAAGAAGAACCTTAGTATATAAAACAGTTCAAAGAAGTTGTAACAGGGATGCGGCTCTGAAGCTCACTGCCCGCTCCTCACAGACCCTGAAGCACCTCTGAGGACCCCTGGAGGCCTACAGGACCCAGTTGGAAAACCACTGCATTACATTGTGCTGCCTTTTTAATTTTGGGTGAACTAAATGCTTAAACCCATGCATCACTGAAACCCATCTTTGATTCGTCCTATTAAAGCTAGACACTAAAATAGTCAGACTTTTCAATATCACTTGATTCTAAGTTGGAAACATTGGCAAGATAATATAATTACAACCTACACCAATCTTAATTCAGAACCTATGTGTTTAATGTTTTTGAAATCACAGTACTTTTATTTTTTTTAAAGCAAACATACCAATGACTAAGATGTTGTTCAGTTGCTCTACCCCGTCAATTTTGGACAGCAACTGGTTGACGACTGTGTCATGCACTCCCGTGCTACCAGCCATGCTCCCTCTCTGCTTGCAGATGGCATCGATTTCATCAAAGATGATGATGTGCAAACCACTGTTAGCACCAAGCTAGTAAGGAAAGAGATTATACTAAAGGTCATTATTTGAATATATTATTAATCAAAAAAGCAAAACAAAGCTCTCTGTAGATTAACTTTGCTCCAATTTGATGAATAAATATAGCAAGCATAATCCTGGTTGCTGCTCTCAAAGGCAACAGAGCTACAGTCTCAGAATTCTGCGAACTGAAAAGGCATTCCAGAACTTCATATTTAATATCCATAGAACAAAAATACACATTATATACTGGTGAACATGAACAGTCCATCAAATAACTAACTGTTCATTTACACATTTCTAATCTCACTATTTGAAAGAATTCTTATACGTATCAGGTGCATTTCTGAAGTCAATGAATGGGAACTCCCGCCCATTTCCCCTGCTCTCTGGTGAGAGGATTGTCCCAGAAAGATTAGGTTTAATGTTCATTTGCGTGCTATATTATATAGCTAAATGCTAACTCCACCCATGGGAATTGGGGAAATGGGGCAATGAGCTAAACACACATGATTCACATTCAGTTATACCACATGCAAACACTTTTTCCTAACAGTAAAGTGAGAACAGAGACACAGTTTATGAAAAGAACCCAGTCAAAGGGGTGCTGCTTCTTCTGCACAGTGATCTGTTTTCGTTTATCGGATGTAGAGTCATCATTAAAATAAATTAGTTTATGTATTTTGAAACTTTCATAGATGAACATACTTTTAAATGCTAATAATTCATTAGGTTAAGTTAACATGGACCTTCTAACAATTCATATTTAAGTAATTAAGTCTTTTATTAGGAACCAAAGGGGTAACTGCACTCTAGAAAATTTCTATTAAAAAACCACAAAACATTAGGGATTAACAAAACAAAACAGATGAGAATGAACATAATCTAAATAGAACAACATATAGATAACATAAATGATGGGCCTGAGGTTCAGGATTAGATATGGTTGGTATTCATTAAACCTCTGGCAAGGATATAATCTTTTTTTAAAAAATAATAGATTAAAAAAATGTATTATAAAACTATTAGAAGCTAACCAAGCAAAAGTTGTAAAATAGAAATGTTAAAAATAAACTCTTATGTCACCTAAAGATAAATACTAACATTCTGCAGACTTATTTCTATATTTTAAATTTATTTTAATTAAAAAATGGGAACTCACTGCAACCTGTACTCTCTTGAACAATAACTGTTCTTTGAAAACAATTTAAAATGGCTACTTTTGTTTCTAACCGTCAAACACGATATTATAAAAATTTGGAAAAATACCAAAAAATGTAAAGAAATCACAACTGCCCAAAATTCAACTAGATAGAAATAACTCCCCTATTCCACATTAATTCCTTAGTGCAGGTACTTAATAATTTCTAAGTTTTTAGTATTATGTACACTGTTACAATGAGCATTTTTATACTTACAGCCTTGACAATATATATTAGTACTTCCTGGAAACAAATTGTTAGATGCCTACAATAAAGGCAGCCTAAAAAATGTGAATGAAGAAAACATGACAAAGATGAAATGTTACATCAGAAGTAGGAAGAAAAAGAGTCCCAAAAATGACCTGAAGGAAAACAGACTGGCTCTAAAACAAACCTAAGTATATAAAGAATTTTAAAAAATCAGAACCAGATAAAACACTGGTTGATTCAGCAATTCCACTCCTTGGTTTATAACAGCTCTGCTCAAGTGCCCCAGACTGGAAGCAACCCAAATGCCCTTTCGTGAGTGGATGGATAAATAAACTATAGTACATCTATACAATAGACTACTCAACAACAAAGAGAGACGTCTGATACATGCAACAACTTGGACGGATCTCAAAGGAACTATGCTTAGTGAAAGAAGCAAGTCTCAAAAGGTTACACTATGATCTCATTTATATGACATTCTCGAAAATACAAAACTATAGGGATGGGGAACAGGTCAGTAGTTACCAGGAGTTATTAGCAAAGTGACCATAAAGGGACAGCATGAGTGAATTTGGGGGAGGGGAGGTGATGTAAATATTCTACATCTTGATTTTAGTAGTGGTTACATGAAACTATACATGAGCTAAAATTAATTAAAACTGTACTGGGGGGATAGTAGAAGAGGGCAAAGAGGGTCAAATACATGGTGATGGAAGGAAAACTGACTGTGGGTGGTGAACACACAATGTGATATATAGATGATTTATTTCAGAATTGTACATTTGAAACCTATGTAATTTTACTAACCTTCGTCACCCCAATACATTTTAATTTAAAAAATCTGTACCAGAAGAAGAAAGTCAATTCTATTTCATAGTAAATAGAAACAGATAAAATATCTTAATACATTGTACTATTCATATTTGGAGTATTGTTCATTCTTTAATGCAACACTATGCAAGATGATAAGCCATGTGTTCATCAAGGTTTCCAAAATTTAACTAGGTTATGTTTCATTTTTTTCCCCGAACATTACTTATAAATTGTTCTCCTTCCACAAATGTTTTAAAAACTAAATTCGAATCTGAAAAAATTAATTTCTCAATATCATATTTATCGAACAGATGTCTGGATGATAAATGATAGCTTGCTGTTTAAAAAAAACTCAACACCAAAAACTATTCATCTTTCCATCTGCAGAAAAGACTGAGAGAATGAGGAATTGGAACTACAATCTTAGCTTTGCCAAACACTTCTATATTATGGGGTATTAATTCTTGCCGTCTTCGGTGCAAAACAAGGACACTCCTGTTTGTGACTGAAAAACTGTGGGATTCTACATTATTTTTACAAGACATTTTTATTCAAGGTTGTCTGCCAATACAGCATGAAACAAAAAGCTGCTATAATGTATGAATTTTGCTGTCAATGTGCCTTATGTTGCCACTGGAATCATGACTTCCTTCTCAGGCCAACCTCAAAAATCATCTATGTGGAAGGGAAGCCAGAGACAATAAGAACACTGTGTTTGATTAAATGATCACAGGAGCAATCTGTCCTAAACATAATTCAGTACAATTCTGACCTTTTCAGAACCTTACTAATCTTGTGACCTGTCATCAGGTCCCTTCCCCCATCCTCGTCAGTACAATAACATCGATTTTTACAGGTGTGTTACTTAAATAAAGCCAAGTTCTTACTGCAATAAATTAGGAATCAGGTAAGGAAGATGTCAAGATTAATGTTCACAGATTAATAGAGCTGAATCATCAATAGACCCTTTACCAAAGAGTTTAAATTTCCACAATGCAATCCTCTTCAATTCGCTGGCTTCTAGCTCTTGTTCTTAGCATCTGCAAAGTCCTCTCCCATAGAAACAGAGCTGCTGCTGTTGAGCCCCTGGCAACAGACTTCGAAAACCACCATTCTATATTTAACTAGCCTGACCTATATGCAAGTGTTCATCTCTGTCAGCCTGGACTGTCCAGAATCAGAGGTGATGCTTTTCTTTATTATGTAACACACATATACCCTCCACAGGGTCATTAACTGAGTATACCAAGCCATTTCTGGATGTAAGAATTGAGAAAGGTACCACTGAACAGGCTATGGTTAATATCCACCTAGAAATCCTTTACCAACTCAGCTTTATCATATTATTAATAGTGTCATATTTAAACTGTCTAAAAGTTTATTTATAAAGACTGACATATCTCATGACATTTTTCTTCTAGACGTCTTCCACAGACCAAAAAGGAAAATATTATTTTAAAAATAAAATAAAACTTGTTCTATCTGGCAATGACCATATAGGTCCACTGCATCTTTTTATAAATCTAAGCTACATTATGCTATTTCGATATTCTAGAAATTATGTCATCATTACTCATCAATTCCCAACTATACTAAAAAAGATTAAAATAATAAAATGGGGGAACAATGGAACTGCTTAGAAGACGCAATAGTGAAATAAATATCACTATGACATCATCCTTTAATTTAATTATTGTGTTGTCCAAAGTACTGCATCATCTTTCAAGAAGGTTTAAGTCTGGAGACACCATCCACCATCTCTGTTGCCTGATTTCAGTTTTAACTGAACACAATTGAGAATTCAGGTTTTTAAAATTCCCTGGCCATAATGGCAAAAAAAGAAAATTGACAGAGAAGATATTTCACAATTACGTGAATCTGAATATGAATGCAAAGTGTGAGAAGTAGCACAAGACTCTAGTGAAGTTGGTGAAGTTGATCTTCATAAGTAAAATCTCAGACTCTGTGCCTTTAGATGATATCCTACACAAATTTTCTCCAGCTCAAGAATGAGTGAATACTATATTTCTAAGGACAAAAAGAAAATTCAACATTTTCATCCAGTTACTTATTCAACAAGAAGTCTTCATTGTGCAATATTTTCTGACCAGAAATTAGGCCATCTCGTTTTTCTAAAAGGACACATGACAGTATTCTTTCATCTTTTATTTAATCTGTGCATCAGCATTTCCTTGATATGGTTTCTAAGTAGATAAATGCTGAAGGTAGGTACTACAGAGAGACAGCCAGAGATGATATAGGCATCAAAAACTGGATTGACCATTCTATAAGGTGTACATGAATCTAAAAACAAAAATGTTTTGCAATTATGGAGCATCTGAGGACTGTCCTGTTTTCAACAAAATTATGAGCCAAAGATTTTTAAAAACTCTTTAAGTATCCTGTCTTGGTGCAAGTATAGGGAGCACCAGAAGTGATGATAAGCTAGAACCTATTAGAGATGCATCTGAAACTCAAAACCATCTACACAAGTTCACGCATGACAACCGATGAACAGTTAGTTCCATTCAGAGGCTCCTGCCCATTTTGGGTATATACGTAAATGTGTCTTCAAAACCAGGAAAATACGGAATAAAAATTTGGCTTGCTATATTTAAGCTCTTATTATATATTTTAATAGTCTCTCACTTCTCTTTAATTGTATGTTTGTAATTTATTTATTTATTTATTTATTTATTGTTAGTTTCAGGTGTACAGAACAATACAATAGTTTTATCCTTTTCACCCTTCACACAGAAACAACTCCCCTCCCCCATCCACAGCCCT